AAGACACAACACATTTACACGTGAAAAAATAATTAATTGTTTAATTTTTCTTTTGAAAAAAACTGAACACGGGTCTCACAGACCCGAACACCATACAAGGGTTAAGTTGCTTAAAGACGTTTCACCTCTCATCCGAGAAGCTTCTTCAGTTCTAAGGTCAAGGCGTTCTGGGCATGTTCTTTGCAAGCTCCTTTGACAGTGCCTTTTATATGTACGCAAACGCGCGTTGAAACTTCTTATCTGGTGCGCGTCTTTTATTTTGACAGCGCATGCGCACCTGCGGACCACTTATGTGCACTCCTGTTTATTAATCATAAAAGATTACTGACAGTTATGCCTCACAGGCCTAGAACCTACTGAACACCCTCCAGCAATCTCCAGTCAATATGAAAATGTGTTCCTCGACTGGCTGGTGGCTGTTGGATGATACTGGCTGTTGCTGGGTAAAAAAAGTGGGTGCTAAATTAAAAGCCATCTTGTAACTGCTTTGGCTGCGTTACTTCGAAGAGAAACGGTCTGGGATTGCTTTCTTTTTTACCTCTCACTATCGCTGGGTGAGGAGGTAGCGAGTGCTTGCAGACAGTGTCAGCATCTTCCATGTAATCTGCTTATGACCACAGTCATTGCAAGGAGGTTTCGAGTTCGGCCCCATTAACTTCTTTGCAATGAATTTCACCTAGTGACCGCCAGCAATCTCCAGCCATCACTCAGCAACCACCAGGTGAATATATTTTCCTTAAACTTCATAAAACTGGTATAAAATGTGCAAAATATATAACACAGTGTAAGTTTACAGCATCTAATCCTATAGCTTTATGATATTCTCATTTATGTTATTGTTATTTATTTTTTTGTGTGTTATTGTTTTCCATCTTCCTCTAACACAGCTCCCAGAACATCAGCTGAGTGTTTCAGTCGCTTTCATATCTGGCGTGCCCCTAAGCAGGTCAGTTTTTAAAGTTTTTTAAATTTAAATCTATTTTAATACATAATGGATGTAAAAAAGTCAACAGCCATTACCTTGGTCTGTCCTTCAATGACAGTGAGAGGCACACTGGTGGAGGGCCACTTGTTTCTAGGAGGTAAAGGCTTGTCGCAGTTCCATAAAACCACAATCTGTGTGGGGAAAGAACATGGTGTCCATTAATATTATACAAGCCCAAACATTGTTGTGAATAGGCTTCTCCACAGAAGGTTTTGAATGAGCTGATATTCCTCATAATGAAATGTCCGTCCTATTTTTCAAGAAGCAAAGACCAGCCAGGGGCTTCTGCTTTACAGAGAACCCTTGCTAAAGAATACCTTATTATCAGAGTGAGTACATATATAATCTTTAGTGCCAGAATACAAAAAATGTTCTTTTTCCATTAGCCTGTGAGTGCGTGAACTGTGTTAGTCATCACCGAGTTTGTTTCAAAAGCTATTGCACTTTCAGTATATTTACATGTACATGAATATTTATAGTAAAGCTTAATTCAACATATTTCATAAAAAAAATCCACATTATATAAGAGACTGCTTATGCAACAGACCTTTAGTCCTCAGGTATTACTCTAGTGCCTTTTTCTAGTACTTTTTTATAACATGTGTAGAATAATAAAGCTTGTTTAAAAGCTTTCTAGACAAATTACGGCGGTCAAGAAGACTTGTGTGAAGATTTAAAGCAAATTATCAAAAAACAAACATTATATTTGGTATGTTATTTGAAAAAGGAGCAGAAACTGGAATATAAAACCTACAATAATCATTTATCTACTTTCTCATTTTTTAGACCTTTTTTTAAAAAAACATTTTTTTTGATTTTCTTACTGTTATATGAGGAAAACATAATGAAGGAATGGAAACGTAGGAATGAGACAAAAGAAAAGGGAAATAAGGAGGGAGGAGATATGGAGAGACAAGGTTATAGAAGAAACACATTGATAACATAAACATCAACTGTCAAGTGAAACATTTTAGATCACTGAGAAGTAACACCTCCTGACACTGTTTGCATTTCACTGCATATATGTGAAACCATTCTTTCATCTTTTTCCTGAACGGCAGCAGAAATCACAGCAAAGTTCAGACACATATCCCACCTGTGCACAGAACTTGGACTTGGCTACAGCGATGATGAGCTTCACCACAGGGGATATCTGGGACTGCAGAGGAGTTACCATATGGATCACAGTGGTGAACTGCTGCGATGGGCTGTTACCTGCACAAACATACCCATACTTCACAAACAGCTGTCATGTGTAAACTGCATTTAGGCTCTTAAAACAACAACAACAACAACAACACAAAAAACCCCAAAACACAGATTTGTGCAGATGTAGCTCTCCATAAAGCTCCATCACGGTTAACTGGACACAGAGTGCTCCACGCTGCACCCGTCATCCATCTTTATGACAGCATATATACCCCCTGGTTCAGATGGCTGACCATGAGTAAACATGTCTAATCCAAGAGTGAACAGTTTGCTTTGAGTCTCTTTTACTCAATTGCAAATGATGCTGATTTGTTTCTATAATGGGTATTTCTGTTTCTACAACACTTGTTAGATACTCTCTTGCATTTTACCAAAACAAACAAATGAACCAAACAGAACAAAAAGAGAAGCAGCAAAGCAGAATGAATTGAAGCTTCTTTGACAAATGGTATTCAGAAAAGAGTGGGATGGGAAGAGTTGTAATTTTGAGAACCTTATTCTCCCTGTGGCAAACCTGTGTCAGAAAAATGTATTGATAAAATAAAGCACGCGCTTCTTAATACATCTTCTGTTTCAAAATAGATTGATCTATTATTGTCAAATATTACAGGATTTAATTCACATTAATGTTATTAAGATGGCTGACAATATAGAAAACATACACTGTTTTTGCACTGTAAACTTTGCTGCATTCACAATCACTGCAAAAATTATCTGACTAGTATTAAATCGTTCCACAAGGCTTTCATGGGGCAAGAAATGATCAGAAATATCACACAAACAGCAACAAATTGTAGTCTGTGTAAATACTGATGGTGATTTTCTTCTTCTTAATCTGATTAGCAAATAACTTGTGTAAACTGTGAATATTTGGCAGCTGTGAGCTGTGTAATTAGTCTAAATACCCTAATAATCTCACAACAGCACTTTGTAATACACTCTAGTATGCGAGGACGCATTCTAATCAACTCGCCATTTATAATTATTACATTATTATAAATTATTATAAATTAATGTTTCATAATTGAACATATGAAACAAAGAGGTTCATATTGAAGAAAAATAAAAATATAACATTAATGTTCTGTGAAAAGCAGAGGTTCCAGGAAACACTAGCTAATACAACCTCAATTCCAAAAAGGCTGAATAACAAAATGCAATGGTTTGTCATAAACACACATTTTGACATTTTCACAATAAACAGTGTTATAGAAATACATTTGCTTCCTTCCTGATTTCTTTTTGTGTGTGTATATTTCTCACACTTTCGCATTTGGAATCATCAAGCAAATTTAAGGCAAGATGACCTACGTATGATAGTTTTTAAACAATTTGATCTATAAAGGAAAAAGATTGTTTAAACCTACCTCGCCCGGGTGAAAACCTAATTGGCCCCTAAACATAATAACAACTTGTGCTGCTCTTGGCAGGAAGAACTGCAATTAAGCATTTGCGATAACTGTCAGTGAGTCCTCTACATGTATTTTTGTCTACTCTAAGATGCTCTTTTTAAACCCCATCATGTTACTGACTTGTTGCCAATAAACCTAATTAGAATCACAATGTTCCTCCTGCTCTTTCTTTTTAGTATCACTTACTATTCCAGCCTTTCCAGCTCTAATTTTAACTTTATTGAAGTCGTTACATTTTACAAAGATTCTCATCCTCTGTTTTGCAATTCAAAAGAATGGAATCCATCCATCAGTACTTATGCATGAGACATCTATAATTTAGCTTTTATTTAAGGTCATTTCAATAAGTTCCAATAACATTATTTGACAGAGTGAAAATCTTCCATCATATTAAAGGTACTGGGTGTTAACATAGATTTTTGTTCTCTTTTACATGTTTAGCATGTTTACCAAGTGATCACATGGAATTTATTTGCTGTCGTTTCCTTCACTTCAAGAAGACCAAAAACTCTAAATTGCAGCAAAACTGCTTCTATTCTATTTTTACACACTGCCAGAAAGTAATTACAAAAAGTTAGATATCCCATGTGAGCAGCTAAAATGAGGATTGCAAAAATCTATAATAGATAAATGGGCAGGTAGATGTAGAAACACACACACAGAAACACTGAACACTCAGAGCAGCCAAAGAAGGCCAGGACTGCAGGCACATGGCATGGCAAGTGTTGGGTGCATTTGGGAATAGGGGAAAACACTTCCTCATGGATAAGTGCAGCCAGAGTGCTCTTTAGTGTTGCTCTATCCATCTCTCTGACACTGGGCCCCCTGACCAGCCATCTCAGGTGGGCTTAGTGGTATTTATGGAAGCATGAGCTCTGCCCTTGTGGGGGTCACATAAATAGGGTTAAACCTTCTGTTTCTTGAAAATAGCTAAGCCATGTTAATTTCTGTTAAACGGCATGTTTTCTGTTTTTTTTTAGTATCAAAACTCTGTAAACATTGAAACATTCAGTCATAGAACAGAATGGAAGCTCTCTGAAATCAGATCATAAGGGGACATAAAGGACCTTACTCAAGTCTGAAGTTGAGAAGTTAACTTTGGAGGGATTTTGTAATTCCTAACAAATAATCAATTTCATAAAACAAGATAAGATGCAGTTAATTGCCTAGATGGATAGATTTGTTCTGGGTTCAAAAGCTGCAGATGCATACTACATAGAAAAAGAATAAAATAGAATACAATAAATTAACATGTACACAACTCAGCTCTCACACAATGCAAGATTTTACACCAAATATAATAATAATATTATTTCATGATTTAATATTAAACATGAAATTTAAAATTGTAGGTGTAGGTACAGTATATGCATAATTCATAGAGGCAGACTAGCATCCTTGGTGTGCTTTTGTTGTCTTTTTAAGACCAAGACTTTTAAAAAAAATTGGTGAAATTTTCTTTTTAACTATTGCAATAAAGTGCACGTCTATACTGGGATTTCGTCAATGATGCCAAGTTGATTAAAGAAAAGGAAACAGAAGAAGAAGTGGCCAGAGATGCATAGGAGGAAACAATGGTACTTAATGGCCAGTCTTAGTTCTTGCGGGCTGCATCAGCATTACTGCAGTTCTAGCAAGGTAACAGCTTAGGATATCAGAAGCGTTTCTGTTTACATTGTGCCTACAATATGGATTTAACGCAGAAGGAGAAATCTACTGTTATGACTGTGACAAGAATCTGACAGAGTTTTTAGTCTAGTAAAGAGGCATTGCCCTGATCATTGGACTAAATGCTCTTAAAATGGCATGCATGGCAGCTGTGCGACCAATCTGCGCAGCACTGATAGCAAGGTCAAAATCTGATACTGACGCCTTGCCATAGTCCAAAAGTGAGCACACATATCTTAAACTTCTTGAAACACAAATAGCAAATAGTCCTAAATACACTACGGTCTAGTGTTACTTGGAAAAATCAGAGCCTTGAGCCAGGAGTTTTACGCAACCAGTACCTTAGTGGTGTCTTGAGAGCAACTTTGCAACTCAGTTGTCATCTAGTACACTGGGACTAACTGACTTTGACAAAGCATTTGCTGATTTCAACTATATGTATAATTTAAAAGACAGAAAATCAGCATACATCAAATTTTCTCCCTTCTTTAGTCACACTTTTATACTGACATGTCCTGCAAGCTGATCTGAAACTCAACACCATTAAAAAAAAAACTACAAATGTCAAACGAGCTATAAAATAGATGCTATATATTGGAACAGTATTGCTCTGATACATCAATTTCTAGAATATTAACACAACCTTCTTTTGTTTATATAATTTGAAGAAGCTGCAGAGCACAGATGATTGGACTCCTTTTCACACACTAAAATAAAAGTGTAACTTGAGGCATCTGATCGTGATGCCTTACTTGTCCCAAGGCCGCTATGTATTGACATTAAGCCAAACTTTTTTAAACTATCAGGCTCAAGTTGCAACAGCTTTGCCATGAAAACTTATGGGAAGGTATCAGAGTGAGACCGTCTTATACACGGCGCTAGCGAAAAGTTATTCCCCCAGCAGCAGCGCCGGTGATGGCGGCAGCAAAAATAGTGATTTACTGCAGAGGTGTAAACAAAACTGCTCCATCTTTGGTTCTCTTCTCTCTTCCTTCTAACCCTTGTGTCCACAATTCCTCAGAGAAAGACAAACATCGATCTGAGTTACAGCCTCAGACTACTGAGAGTCTCTCTGGTCTGCACACCCACATAAACATGCACATATAGAAGCCTTATTTCTTTCCCTGCAGCTTCAAGTTTCTGAACTATGCCCCAACAGGAGTCTTGCAAAATTTTACGTATACATTTTAAAAACAATATTGCAGATTTTTATTACAGCTGCCGTTGTTAACCACTTATCTGACCTGTCATAAGTTATGCTGCTTGTACATTTACTGTTTTAGGCTCTATAGACAGCAGTTTCTTGCACAGTTTAGGCAGCCAATGAAGTCCAAGTTGACTGGATTTAAAATTTGTTGGCAAACACATCCTCATTTTACAATTTTTTTACTCAGTGATATGGTCATTGTGTTCAGAGGCGAAAACTTTCAGAAAAACACAGGAATTGTCGCAGAAACTTCTCTGTCACTGATCAAGGCTTTATGATACTGACAGCATCTGTTGAGCCTTCCTGGCTGTCAGTGACAATTCTGATATTTCCCTGAAAGAAAAGGGAATGTTTTGGATTCCAACAAAAAAGAAAATGTGGCCACGTAATCGTTGTTTGCATGATGTGTCCTTCAGCTGTTAATATGATTGTGCCAAGGAGAACACTTAATGAAAACAAATAACAGAAAAACTGCGGCCATGCATCACAGCCCGGATTCAGTAATTATCATATATGTATCAAACTTGAGTTTATTAGCTCTGTGTCACAGGAAGTGGCATGCAATAAACTGAGTGACCTTTAGGCACCTTGAGACATTCAAGAGTATTTGTTTAAATCCTGTAAATCGCAAGCTGGATCTGCAGCAAACCTGACTTTTCCCCAGCACATGCACCACACTGTGGTTCATGTTTTGTGCCTCCTCTGACAAAAGGTACTCATCACTGCATTCCAGTTATTCACCTGTGCTGCAGCTAAGTCATTAAACAACAACCTATACCATCTGTGCTACACTGAAATGACTCTTA